TTTGTGGGCAGTGAAGCCCCCTGGCTTGACTGAACTAAGGACTGCCTTGGACCCTCCCTGGGAGCTGCCTCCTTTGTGCGAACCTTCACAGCTCCCCCTGCTTTAACTCTGAAATCAGCCCTGTGCTTGGCTTTGGTCAGGGAGCTGTAGGCTTAGCACAAGCACATCCTGTTCGGTGGTTTTAACAGTGTGAAGTGGGTATTCTTCCTCCTTATCCTGCTTTGGATTAATTGTCCTTCCTTGGGGCTTCTCCCACCAGTTCTGGAGAATTTTTCACCCCTCATTATTTGACAGCTGCTGACCCACATTCATTCACTCCTGAGTGCCCAAGAGCAGGTGCTGGACCTCCCCATTCTTTCCCATTTCCTCATCTCTCCATCCGGCATGCCTTTCGGGTTATTTTCTTCAAATCTGTCTTCCAATGCACTGGTTTCCTTTCAGCTGTATCTCATTTTGTATTTATCCTTTCAAATGGTTACCCATTGATTTAAAATATTCTAATAGCTGTGTCAATAACTCCTATGTGATTTCTTTTCACACTCGCCTGGTAATTTTCTTGAGTATTTTGATTCTCACTTGTGCTTTTAGCTTCCTGTTTGCTTTTTAAAACCTGGTTACTTTATGTCCTAGTTCTTTTTTTAGCATTTTTTTAGATTTATTTTATTTATTTGAAAGACAGAGTTATAGAGAAAGGAAGAGACAGAGAGAGAGAGAGGTCTTCCATCTGCTGGTTCACTCCACAGATGGCCACAACGGCCGGAGCTGCGCCAATCCAAAGCCAGGAGCCAGGAGCATGTTCTGGATCTCCCACGCGGATGCAGGGGCCCAAGGACTTGGGCCATCTTCTACTGCTTTCCCAGGCCAGAGCAGAGAGCTGGATCAGAAGAGGAGCAGCCAGGACTGGTGCCCATATGGGATGCCGGTGCTTCAGGGCATTAACTGGCTGCGCCACAGCGCCGGCCCCTATGTCCTAGTTCTAAAATGTCTAATATCTAAAGTGGTTATGGATCTGCCTCTGCTCCTTGTCTTCTCTGCTTATTTCTTCATCATGGGTTTTGTGGTCTCTGGTTGTGAATTCATATTCATTTGGAACTCCTAACTGTTGAAACTTGTGTTGAAGTTCTTTTTTAAAAAAAATTATTTATTTATTTATTTGAAAGGCAGAGTTACAGATAAGGAGAGAGAGACATCTTCCATCTACTGGTTTACTCCACAAGACCCATGAGGAGGCCTGGGGTCCAAGCATTGGGCCGTTTTCTTTTGCGCTCCCAGACACATTAACAGGGAACTGGCATCCTTCCAGACATATTAGCAGGAAGCTGGGTGGGAAGTGGAGCAGCCAGGACCTGAACCCGCACTCCTATGGGATGCCAGCGTTATAGGCAGCAGCTCAACCCACTGTGCCACCACACTGGCCCTGACGGGAGTTCTTACAGAGAGGGTTCATGTTGGTGTTGGCCAAGTACATTAGGCACTACCTACCCAAGTAAACTTGAAATTAGAAAGTTTAGCTTGTGGGCTTTTGCCTCAGGCAAATTGTATGGCCCTGTGATGGCCAGACGTGGGCCATGAATCCACTGGGGTAATATTTCCCCTTCCACCCAGAGCCAAAGCAAAGAGAGTCGACGTCCTTGCTGTGTGCAGATTCCTCCTTGAGTTTATCCTTCCCTTGGAGATAGATTCCTTCTTAGGACCCAAACTGATATTGCAATTTGGCTCTTCCACTGCCAGGACCCAGGCAGAAGCTCCTATCAGCGGCATCCATGCATTCCCTATCTCCAGAGCCAGTTCTCGAAGTATCTGTCGGCTTAGCACACGCATTAACCAGTCACAGCAGCTGCAGGCTGTACCTGGGCACACATCTGACCATCAGTTCTAGCTTCCGAGGCTTGGATTCCTGCTCGCTTCCTAGCCGTGAAGGACTTTACTGGTTTCCTTGCAGGCTTATCCATGCATTTAAAAGGGTGTGTTCCATATTTCTCCTGGCAATTGTATGTATTTGGCTGCAGTAGTGATATGTGGAGATATAGAGTCTACAATATTGCTGGAAGTAAAGTCTACACAGGAAGTTGATTTGTTGTACTCAAGAAAACCCCTGGGGGTAAGCAGTCCAAAGATGGAGCCTGCAGCCTAACGTCCCGGCCACCAGGCTCTCTCCGTCTGCTTGTTTTGCTGGTCACTTCCTAGCCACAGGACAGCAGCTGAACGTCCACACTTCAGACCCGCTACAGCAGCTGAACGTCCACACTTCAGACCCGCTTAGAGGCAGAAAGAAGACAAAGTGGCAAAGCCCTTTAGGAGTATTCCCAACTAGAAGTCTTAGTGGATTTTGCAAAAACTTTTTTCCCAGCATTCCCACTGAATGACTTCTACATTTATTGGCAAGATGTTGGTCACAAGCCCAATTTCGAAGAGTGAGGTTAGATCAGACGTCTTGGGTCAGTTCTGAGACTTGCCAAGTCCAGCTCCCCTGAGATCAAGGGACCGCTGCTGGGATCTGAACAGAAACGAGTGGAGTTTTGTTTGGTTTTGTTTTAGGGAGTCCAAGAGGGAGGAGAGATACTAGCACGCCCTGTCTGTGGGGCTTTGTTGGAGGAAGTGGTGTGTGCTCCAGCTGGGCTGAGGGGAAGATGGAGCGTAGACCCTGCGAGCAGAATCTTCGGCAGCGGTTCTGTGCCCACCCCCACTTCTGCGGCTTCGTCTCCCCGAAGTTCCTGATAGAACTCTCCGAGATAGTCCCAGTCTCCTCTTGGAACACTCAAGAAGCAAGCGGACCAGGTGGGAAACCCCGCACTCGGCGCTAAGACACACACGGTCCTCCCGGGCGAGCCTGGCCGGGGAGGGGCATCCACCCTACGCCCAGGGCCCCTCTGGCCGGACCCCTGCAGCTGCCTGGATTTCGGGTTGGTGCGCGTTCAAGTGAGCTCCCTGGTCTCCAAGCAGCTCCGAAGGTCGCGGAAGGAAAGGCAGGAAGAGAGGGGGGCAGGGTCGCGGCGGACGGGAGAGCCGGAGGCAGTGCAGGTTCTCTGGTGCCCCCATCTCTGACCCTGGCGCCCAGCCAATGCGGCCATCCAGAGGGCACTGGCTGTCACGGACCCCTTCTAAGCGCCCACTATGTGTCAAACAGCGGGATGGGCGCTGCTGAAGCAGACACGGATTTTGACATCGTCTCTGCCAGGCTCTCCAATGCCTGTCAGCGAACCTCAAACTTGACAGACCGGCTCCCGACACCACTGCGCAGGCGCCGGCTGTCTCGGAGCCCTCTCTCCTACGCCCCGCCCATGAACGTGCGTCCCGCATGCGCATTAGAGTTCCCTCGCGGCCGCACTCCCGGAAGTACTGGCAGTTTCGGGGGCGGGACCGGGAAGCGTTTCCGGGGGCGGGAGGCGCAGGCTGAGGCTGTTGCGGCTGCGACCGCTTGAACAGGCCTGGCGCCGGCGGCGGCGGGAGCTCCTTTGGGTCTGGGATGTGAGCGCGGAGCCCTTGGCAGGTACGGCGGCGTCGGGACAACTGGGCGCGAGGATGCGGGGAAGGAAAGCCGGGGAGGGGGCTGAGGGCTCCTCGCAGGCCGGGGCGCGCGCGTTGCGGGTGCCCCCGGGCCCGTTCGGTCGAGCGGGATGCTAAAGCCGCTGGCGGGCGTTCGGGATCCCCACGCTCCGGTCCGACCCCCGCGGTCTCCAGCCCTTCTGGCGCACAGACCGCGACACCTGGGGCCCCGGGGCAGCCTCCGGTCCAAGGTCACCCCGCGGCAGCGGGGCTCGGCGGGCCGGAGCGCTTGGAGATCCCGCCCCCGTCCGTCCGCCGGCTTTTCGGGGCGCGGGGTGGGCGCGGCTTGGCGCCACCGGCGCGCCCCGGGCCCGCAGAGCCGAGACCGGGAAGCAGG